TTTTTTTTGAGACAGTCTTGCTCTGTCACCCAGGCTGGAATGCAGTGGCACGATCTTGGCTCACTGCAAGCACCGCCTCCCAGGTTCATGCCATTCTCCTGGCTCAGCCTCCCAAGTAGCTGGGACTACAGGTGCCTGCCACCACCACACCCGGCTAATTCTTTGTGTTTTGTTTAGTAGAGATGGGGTTTCACCATGTTAGCCAGGATGGTCTTGATCTCCTGACCTTGTAATCCTCTCGCCTTGGCCTCTCAAAGTGCTGGGATTACAGGCATGAGCCACCACGCCCGGCCTATGTTTTGTTTTTGTGTTTGTTTTTTGTTTTTGTTTTGCTTTTGAGACAGAGTTTCGTTCTTGTTGCCCAGGCTGGAGTGCAGTGGTGCAATCTCGGCTCACCGCAACTTCCACCTCCTGGGTTAAGCGATTCTCCTGCCTCAGCCCCTGGAGTAGCTGGGAGTACAGGTATGCACCACCACACCCGGCTAACTTTGTATTTTTAGTAGAGATGGGGTTTCTCCATGTTGGTCAGGCTGGTCTTGAACTCCCAACCTCAGGTGATCCACCCACCTCAGCCTCCCAAAGTGCTGGGATTACAGGCATGAGCCACTGCACCCAGCTTAAAACATTTTTATCAGGAGGCCAGGTGCAGTGGCTTACGCCTGTAATCCCAGCACTTTGGGAGGCTGAGGTGGGTGGATCACCTGAGCTCAGGAGTGTGAGACTAGCCTGGGCAACATGGTAAAATCCCATCTGTTCCAAAAATACAGAAAATTAGCTGGGCGTGTTGGCACCCACCAGTGGTCCCAGCTAGGGGAAGATCGCTTGAACCTGGGAGGTGGAGGTTGCAGTGAGCTGAGATCAAGACATTGCCCCCATCCTGGGTGAGAGTGAGACCTTGTCTCAAAAAATAAAGAAAAAAGAAAAAACATTTATTGGAGATGAAGTCTCCCTTTGTTGCCCAGGCTTATCTTGAATTCCTAGGCTCTAGTGATCCTCCCTCCTCGGCCTCCCAAAGAGTTGGGATTATAGGTGTGAGCCACTGCACCTGCCCCCCCACCCTCTTAGAGTTCTGGTTTTGAAACCTACTTTTGTCTGTAGTCCATTCTGCTCTAAGGCTGATTTTGGAAAAGTAGATTTGTTCCAACACGATTGATGTGTTAAGAGGACCGTTGAGGTGTAACACAAATGTTGGCAATGGTTGCGTCTGGTTTTGTTCAGATTCTTCTAAACACTAGGCTAGGGATTGGAAAACTGCGGCCCACCAAGTGGTGGCCTGTTTTGGTAAATAAAGTTTAATTCACAGACACGCCCATTCAGGTATGTACAGTTAGGCCTCCATATCCTTGTGTTTTGCGTCTTTGAGTTCTATCAACTGTGGATTGAAAATATTTGGGGTAAGCAGGCATGGTGGTATGTGCTTGTAATTGTAGCTACTTGGGAGGCTGAGGCAGGGGGATCTCTTGAGTCCAGGAGCTTGAGACCAGCCTGGGCAACACAGTGGGACCCCATCTCTTAAAGAAATTATTTTTGGGGGCCGGGCATGGTAACTCACAACTGTAATCCTAGCACTTTGGGAGGCCGAGGCGGGTGGATTGCCTGGGTTCAGGAGTTTGAGACCAGCCTGGGCAACACAGTGAAACCCCGTCTCTACTAAAATACAAAATATTAGCCAGGCATGGTGGCGTGTGCCTGTAGTCCCAGCTACTCAGGAGGCTGAGGCAGGAGAATTGCTTGAACCCGGGAGACGGAGGTTGCAGTGAGCCGAGATCACGCCACTCCACTCCAGCCTGGGTGACAGAGCAAGACTCTGGCTCTTAAAAAAAAAATTTTTTTGGAAGAAAAAAAATGGAAAAAACAGTACAACATAAAATAATACAAATAAAACTATAGTATAACAGCTGTTTACATAGCATTTACATTTTATGGAGTATTATAAGTAATCTAGAGGTGACTTACTAAAGCATATGGAAGGATGTACATAGGTTGTATGCTAATACTACACCATTGTATATCTGGGATTGAGCATCTGGGAATTTTGGCATCCAAGGGGTTCCTGGAAATAATCCTCCAAGGGTCTCGAGGGAGAGCCGTCCTGTCAGAACCACAGAGCTGAGGACTCCTGACAGAGACTAAATGGCCCGCAGAGCCAAAATTATTTACTGTGTAGCATTTTAAGAAAACGTTTGCCAACTCTTGCATTAGGTGAATCTAGAAAACTGTTCCCAGTTTAATAGAGCACCTGTGAGTACATGAAATAAAACTGCCCACACCTCAGACATGCACCAAGCCCCCGCGAGGTCCCCACACTTTGCAGGCCACACCCCATCCCTTTCTGGAGTCAGACAGCCTCCCTCCAGCAGAAATGGCAACCCACCCATGCCCACAGCAAGCAGCAAGTCTTCCCCGAGGTGAGGGTCAGACATGCAACGTTTGTGTATTTCTCAGCCACTGAGCGTGTATGCAGCTATGCTGCCCGTATGTCCACATGTGTCATTGCTTGGGCTCCTATTGTATGTCATAGGTGAAGTTTTGAAGTACTGTGTCCCTAACCCCCTTATGTCCATAAGCCCTGTGTTTTTATCACATGGGTTTGCATGCTGCAGTGGTTTTTAGGAGTGCTGCCTCTGTTGTGCTACAGCAAAACTTAACCATACTTTGAAGGTAAAGGCAAACACCAGAAGGTTCGCTGTCATTCATGACAATAAAGTCGTAATCACTTAATATCTCATCTGGACCCCTTGGTGTGAGAGGGCAAGGTCAAGCCCAGATTGCCACAGGTGCAGTGTTCCCCTTGTCCTTTGGAGTCTTCAGGTCTGACTTTGAGTCGTTGATGGGGCCTTCTGATGGCTGACCAGATACTTTCGTGCCTCGGTTTCCCCACCTGCAAAAAGGCGGCTGATGAGAGTATTTACCTTACAGGTGGTTGTGGGGTAAATGCTCAATCATTGTTAGGTGTTTTGCCTTTAAAAATTAGAAGATCCCCATGCTTCTTTTAATTACAAAGGAGCAATAGATTTGGATCAGACCCTGAGGATCCTCGTGCTGAAAGTGAGTTTGAAGTGTCCGATCCAGTCCCCCAAATCAGAGCACTCCTATCTGTGATACCTCTGTTCACGCACCCAGTATATACAGCACACCTACTCTGTGACTGACACTCTTCCAGAAGTGGGGCCACCCCAGGGACATGGACAAGATGTTGTACCTGCTGTCACAGAGTCTGTTATCTGGTGAGTGTTTGGGATATTCTGAGGGCTCATACCTTCTGGCTGCAGGTTCTTCCCAGGGGCCTCCCATTGCCCCAGGCAGGGCAAGTCTAGATTCAGTCTTGCCTGGAGACATCTGAGAATGGCTGTTCCATCCTCCTCCTCACATGTATGCAGCTCTCCTTTGAGCCCCACCTGTGCCTTTCACTCCAGGTGAATGCAGTTTAAACATGATTAACAAGGGCAGGCGCGGTGACTCACGCCTGTAATCCCAGCACTTTGGGAGGCTGAGACGGGCGGATCACGAGGTCAGGAGATCGAGATCATCCTGGCTAACATGGTGAAACCCTGTCTCTACTAAAAAATACAAAAAATTAGCCAGGCGTGGTGGCGGGCATCTGCAGTCCCAGCTGCTGGGAGGCTGAGGCAGAAGAATGGCATGAACCCGGGAGGCGGAGCTTGCAGTGAGCCGAGATGATGCCACTGCACTCCAGCCTAGGCGACAGAGCTAGACTCCTTGTCAAAAAAATAAAAGATAAGAATAACAAAAGGCCCTTTGTAGCATACCGTGGAAGACTCATCAGAGTGGCCACCTAGACAGAGGTGTGGTGGCCTGAGTTCAGACCTAGCCTGGACCTTCACCCAGCCAGACTTCAGTTGCCTGTACCTTGTGGGGTGACACATGCCTGTCTCCATCTCATGCAGGCTCTCAGTGAGAAGCACTTGGCTCCAGCCAGCGTGCACCTCCCCACTGCTGGTCTTGTCCTAGGACCACAGCAGGGAGACGATCTCTCAGTCTGGGGTCTTTGAAGGCTCAGGGGGCTCCTAGCCAGCTGGCTGGGCTGGGATCCATCCTGATAACATGTGAGAGAGAAGATGCCTATCTCTGGTGTGTCTTTATTTTCAGGCCACCAAGGGTTATGAACCCAGCTTCAACCAGTGAGTAGTAGTAGACATCTGTTCTCCTTTTGAGAAAGCCTTTAGTTCAGGACTCACCACGGCTTTCTGTTTCTTGCCTTGAGACCCTCCTGGCTCAGCTGCTTGGCGCATGCGGTTCCCCTGCCTGGAACGTCTCACCTGATTCCTTTTCCTGCGCTGGCCTCAGTCTGGGAGACGCCATCTCAGTCCCCATGTCTTGGAGTTTTTAATGAAAGCACTTTACTTGTTTGCTCCTCTTTGCCCTGTAGGGCAACCCCGGGAATCACATGCTTCATGAGGCTAATTTACAGAAACGTAGGCGTAACTCAGCAGTGCATACCAAGCCTATACTCTTTGCTCTACACTGAAAGTGAAGATGAATGGGGGAAGAAAGTTTATTCTATTAAAGAGCTCAACATTGAGTTGCGGGGAGAGAATGAAACTCCTGAGTGGCACGGAGATTGTTGCCAGGGCCCTCATCATAGTCCTGGTGAGGTACGCTGTGGCCTGGTGGTCACTGTGGTAGCCACTCAGGGAGGCTTGTGGCCCATGTAGAAGGCGAGCTGTGGGGGTGAGCTGAGGGGTTTAGGTTGCCTGTTTAGATTTTGAGAGTCTCTAGCACGTGGCACAGAAGATAGATGATTTAAGCTGTGTGAACATCTTCAATAAACACTGTGGAAGAAGGGGCAGTGGTACCCTCTCCCGGCCCACTGAAGCTTCTGTGTCCATCTTGTGTCCTTGGTCCTGTGTGTTGGAGTGTTGGAGGAGCTGGCCTCCTCCGCCGTCTCTCCAGAGCTTCTCACCCTGGGGAGCCTCCTTCCTCCTCGCCTGGATGCGGTACTGTCTTTCTTTGTTAGTTTCTTTCTGTCCTTTTTTCTTTAAGAAACAAGGCGTCACTATGTTGCCCAGGCTGGACTCATACACCTAGGCTCAAGTGATGCTCCTGCCTTGGTCTCCTGAGCAGCTGGGACTACAGGCATGTGCCACTGTGCCTGGCTTCACACTCGTGCTTTTGATTCTTATCCTTAGCAGGTGGGGCTGTTGTTTTATCTGGTTTTCTTTTTTAATCCTTGCTTTCTTTGAGTACAGGACTGATTCATAGTCACTGTTAACAGAAAGAATTCAAGCAATACAGAAATGTTTACTATAGTAAGTGAAAGTTTCTTAATAATCTACTCTTCAGAGATTACTACTACTGATTTTGGTCCAGTTCCTTTCAGTTTTGATCTTAGTGAAGTTGCTTTCATTTTTTCCCCTGTATACACCTTTTTTAAAAAAAACCATGCAGATGGTACTATGCTATTCTGCAACTTTTCTCTCACAGTTCTTTCCATTTTTCTTCACATAGTATTGGCTGTGAAGTAGGGATGGGGAAACTGAGACTCAGACCTTGTTTCTTAAAGAGAAAAGTTTGGGTTGACTTTAGAATTTGAGAGTCTCTAGCATGTGGCACAGAAGGTAGGTGATTTAAGCTGCGTGGACATCTTCGATAAATACTGTGGAAGAAGGGGCAGTGGCGTCCTCTCTCGGCCCACTGAAGCTTCTGTGTCCATCTTGTGTCCTTGATCCTGTGATTGATTGACAGGCCTCTCCCCTGGTCCCTGGCCAGCCAGCGGGTGTGTGATGGAGCTGAGACCAAGTCTTTGTTCCCTGCTGTGTCTAGTTGTAGAAGCTGACTGCTTGGAACACCTGTCTCCCAAGTTAAGTTGTATCTTTTGTACTTGGTCTTAACAAAGTTTGATGTTGAGAAGTCCAGTGCTGCTGTTTCTGGTGTGTCTTCCTTCCGGAATGAGTCCCAGTCACTGTTACTCAGAGATGTGCGTCAGGAAGTGGCTCGGGCCACAGTTCTGAGCAGATGGAGGTGTCTGTTCTGCATAGGAAGATGTATGCTTGTCAGGCAGGCGCTGCCAATGCCAAAACTTGGCCCACCTATTCTCTCCTTACCTCCTCCACAAATCCTTCTGGGCCACAACGAGGTACCTTGGTTTGACTCTTAGGAAGTGGGGGAACCACTGAAGGGGGTGCAGATCCAGGATGTGGCTTTGGGAGCTTCATCAGGCTATGTTGCCGGGAGGAGAGTAGACAGGGGTTCTGGGTGCAGAGGGCCACCTGTGCTGTGCATCTATCTCTGTGAAGGGCAGGGCCACAGGGGCGCTCTGGAGGTGGGCACCTGGGCGCAGGCTTGCTGCAGCTGCGTGCCTGTAGGGCCCTTGTATCTTGAGTGTTGGGCGCAGCTCACAGCTAGCGAGGATAGCACCTCGACCCTGTCGTCGTCGTCTGACTCAGCACTGGTTGCTTCATGGGCCCTTCTTCCTTCCTGATAGAAGGTGCCCCAAGGTGCCCTGTGCCTCCTGAGGACAATGGCTGCCCCCAGGTTCAGGGCTCTGCTCCTCAACATCTCCATGGGACTCATCATGGGCCTTGCACTCAGCACATCCAAATTGTAGCCCAACCTTCTTTCCTCAAATCTGCTCCTCCCCATCTCAGATAAAGCCAGCCCCACTGGTCCAGTTGCTCAGGCAAAAACAAGTGAAAGAAAGCAACCCCCTCTGGAGTGCCCGTGTCTCCTGGAACTCTGCTCTGTCCCTTTCCCCAGTGTAGCTGTACCATAGGAACCGCTCCCCTGCCCCGTGGTCCTCCAGCCAGGTGATCCTTTAGAGCAAGCCAGATTCCTCCCCTCCCGTCTGGGCCAGTGCTTCCCCCAGTTCACGTCTCAGCTTAGGCCCTGTCTCCTTCAGGGCTGACTTCCGGAGCCGCCCGTTTTGCCCAGCCCCCGTCCCTCTGCGTGCTCTGACTGCCCCGTGCTCTGCCTTGTGTCCCCACAGCACCGTCACCAACACCCTCTGTCATTTCGCTCCTTTTCCAGCATGGGGGGCGGATGGTGTTCCCTCTGTCTTGTTCATCACTGAGTCCCCAGCCTGCAGTGGAGGCTTGGTGAGCTGCTGTCGGGTGAGGAGGCAGGAAGATGCCTTAAATCCACTGTTCAGAGCATCAGCCCTGCCGCTCCCGCCAGTGCTTTAACCCACTTACTGCGAAGCCTCACTTTCTTCCTGTCTGAAATAAGAGTGTTACTATGGGTATGTTAGTGATGGGTGCCATAGATGGCATTTTTATGGTAGAGTTAGTATTAGCAGTGCGACCTCAGGGGTTTGGCTTTATGATTTGTGTCTATGTACTGAATTTTTCTTTTAATTATCAAGAGATGCTTACTGGCCTGGTGTGCCAGAAGTGTGCTGGGTGCCTTCTCGTTGTCCCCCGAGTCCTTTTTAAGAGTTCCGGTTCCTCCCACAGCATCAGTCAGCCTTTTGGAATGGTTCTAGAACATGTTTTCTGCCTGAGGCTCTCAGGCCAGTTGGATGGTGGCATTTTACGAAAATAAAGCAGCATTTGTATCTGCCCTAAAGCCCATGGAGGTGCTCCCTGTCAGAGCTGCGCTGTGTCTGTGTGGGGTCTCTAGTGTGGCTGAAACCTGCCCTTTTGGCCCCTAGTTGAGGGGGAGCTGGGCTATGCCCCCACCACCTGCCAGCCCAGTGTGTGGGGATGAGGAGACTGATACCCACTCAGCCTTGCTGGTGCTGCTCATCTGTGCTGGCCTGCAGCCCGGCCTGGGGTGTTTGGAGAGAATGAGGCGGAGGGTGAGGCTGACTTTCAACCTTGTGTCTCAGGCAGCCCTGGCAGCCTCAGTGCTCTCCTCTCTCTTTTTTCTTTTTTTTGAGACGGAGTCTCGCTCTGTCGCCCGGGCTGGAGTGCAGTGGCCGGATCTCAGCTCACTGCAAGCTCCGCCTCCCGGGTTCATGCCATTCTCCTGCCTCAGCCTCCCGAGTAGCTGGGACTACAGGCGCCCGCCACCTCGCCGGGGTAATTTTTTTGTATTGTATAGTAGAGACGGGGTTTCACCATGTTAGCCAGGATGGTCTGGATCTCCTGACCTCGTGATCCGCCCGTCTCGGCCTCCCAAAGTGCTGGGATTGCAGGCTTGAGCCACCGCGCCCGGCCGTGCTCTCCTCTTTCAAATGGGCACACTGCTGTTGGGATCCATCTGTGTGGGCAGTAGCCGGCGGAGGATCTCGGCCTCCAGGACGGGGATGCTCTCTGTGCACTGGTGGCTCCCGCACAGGCCTGCCCTGGAACTTCTGCCACCGGAGCTGCCTTCCCCTCACTCTCCCCTCTCACTGGGAATTTTGAAATGAATCCTCATTTGCCAGTCAGGGTGACCTAGCCTCTTCACCTACTTTTAGGAAGTGTTCTAATGCACCCCCCACTGCTGCTCTTTGCAGGAGTCATCTGTCGCGCTTTCTTCTTCCTGACAACTTTGCTCCTGGGTCTGTGTGGTGGCTGCCAGCCCTGTTGTACTGGGGGCACTGGTCTCACTTGCTTCGAGGAGGGAGGAGCCACTCCTTACCGGCACCTGCCCTCCCCAGGAGCAAGTGTCCTGTGGTGGCCGAGGATTGGCCAGTAGCAGGTTCTGCATCATTGGTCTTGGCAGTGGAGGAGCCTCCTGCCAAAGGAGCCCCCTGTACTCGCGGGGCTGGCCCCGCCCCCTCCAGCTGTGCCTGTCCTTCCTGAGGTGGGGGAGGGGTGCCGCAGGGCCCAGCCCCGCAGTGGCCTGCCTCTGGGAGGCACAGGCACAGGGCAGGCGGGCACTGTGAGGCCAGCCGTCAGTGCTGGGCCTGGGATTGGCAGAGTTCCAGGCCTTAGGCTTCATAGTGAGCGGCTGTGCACCCTGAGTACACACCGGCCAGCCCTATGCTGAGGACTCTGACCCACTATCACAATGGGGGGCCCAAGAGGAGAAGTCTCTGGGACTGGAGGGAGCAGCCCTGCTGGGCATCTGAGGCCCTGCTCCGCCCTGCATCTCTCAGAACCTTTGGGTGGCCTCTGGTCCTATGCCAGTGACCACAAAGTGAGGCTCTACAGGCACAGCCCCCCTGATATGGCTGTCAGTTCCACCTTGTCCATGTGGGCCGGAGCAGCCGTGAGAACTCATTCAGGGTCTTGAGTTCAGATGGGCTTCATGGAACTGAGCCCAGGGCTTACAGGGCAGGAGGCTGTGCTGGGAGGGGCCCCGCCTGGCTGGAACAGGGGCAGAGTGGGGAGCATGTGGGTTTCTTTGAGTCACAGGGAAGGGTGCTATGTCCTGGAGGTGGAAGTGCATTCTGTCTGTCCACCTGGGGACGTCATCCCCAACAGTAGTTATCAGGCCAGACTGGGAAGCTTCACCTATAGGGTGGGGGCCCTACTTGTCCGAGGTCCTGATCTCCCCTCAGTCTCTCACCTAGACAGGCTCCTCCCTGCCCTGGGCCTGGAAGTGCACATACCTGCTGTCTAAGGCAGTGCTTGAAGGAGAAATGTCCCACCCCTCCCACAGTGAGGAAAATGAAAGGAGAAGAGGGGACCTACACTCTGAGGGCAGTGACTTATCTGCGGTCTCACAGGGGGTGGGACAGGCAACCTGTTAATGAGTGAGCAGTTCAGATGGGGTTTGTGGGCAAGGCACATCGGAGGAAGGAAGGACAGAGACCATAGAACTTGAGAGAGAGGGACACCGTAGCATTCCTCACCTCCCCCAGAGAAGTGAGGCCTTGACCTCCACATTCAACCATAGTCTGCCTGGGCTCCATTCCATGGAGGAGCTGAGGGGCAGCTGAGCAGGAGCAGGGGCGGGGGTGTACAGGCTGGCTGGCGGGGAGCAGCGGAGGCTGCACAGTTGGTGTGGGGTAGGTGGTAGGTGTAGGCTGGGATGCCGGAGGTGCTGGAGACAGGTGGGGGCGAGTCTGAAAGCCTGTGCCCTTGAGATTTCGGATCTCCCTGCCTCAGCCTGGTCATGTTAGGGGTCAACCATGGCACCTGGGTGGTGGTGAGAGAGAGACGGGGTAGGGAGGGAGCACAGAGCTGCTCTGGGCTTGTGCAAAGCACACTAGTGGTTTCCTGGCCTTGAGGAGACCCCAGTGTTTTGAGCCGGTGCCCGGGTGCCCTGGCTGGACCACACTGGCATGACACACGTGTAGATGGCCTGCTTTCCCTCTGGCTCCAGGAGCATGAAGCAGCTGTCTCTTTCCTTTCAGTCTGAGTGCATAAGGGGGCACATTTGGGCAGGGCCTTGTGCTATTGCTCATTTGTGAAATCGGCTCCTTTAAGGAAGCTGCAGATGAGTCAGCTCTGGAGCATGTCCCATGGATGGTGACAGGACCCCTGTGTTGCCTTGTGCTGTCCCCAGCCTCCAGACTGGGTCTGCCTGGCTCTACCTGGGAAGGCCTCCCCAGGGTGTTTGTCAGTGAGGAAACAAAGACTCTGGCAAGATGAGTGCCCTGCCTGTGAGGACACAGATAGGACCAGAGGGCTTCAGCATGAAGCATGCCACAGGTGTGAATCAGGGCTCTCTGTGGGGTCCAAGTGGGCGCCAACCATCCCATGGAAAACTGACACTTCGGGAATTCTACTAGAGCTCAGCTGCTAAATTTCTCTTTTGTTCCCTGGTAAACATTGGGATGCTTTTTTAAGAACCTGACTCTCCCTGTCTCAATTCCTGTGACCTGTCCTGTTGGGGCGTCGAGGCCAGGGATTGGAGCGGCCCCTTTAAGAGTGCCAGTGTCCCAGCCCCTGCTATGGAATGCCAGCCGCCTCCCTGCAGACAGACATCGCTGTGCTGTCGTCCTGTCTCCGTGAGGGTTAACAACACTTCAGCCTGTTGTCTGGAACCGGCTCAGACTGGTTTTCTGGAAAGTGCTTTGTCTCTCCTACTGAATCCTGGGAAGGGTCATGTGGAGCCCCAGTGATGTCATGGGATCAAAAACTGACTCAGCTGTTTTTTTCTTCTTTTTCTTTCTTCTTTAAATCAAGATATGTGTGTGCTGCAGGTACAGGGCGGTGGCGTGTTGATGGGCCAGGCCTCACCCTACTCAAAGTGTACCTTGCCGGCAACCAAAGGGTTAAATGTGACCCCTAGTCCCCACTCCCCAGAGGTGAGCAGGGAGTGAGGAGACCTCCCTTCACTGAAGGGGAGAAGCTGGGGTTAACTCGAGTCACCACAGTGTAGGGCGAGACCCAGGCCCTGACCCTGTTCCTGGAACAGTGCAGTCACTGCCCTCCTGGATTCCAGACATTGCAGGTGCTCGAAATCCCAAAGGCAGGTAGTTCAGATCTAGATCAACTTTTCCTCTGTTTGCTGTTGAGCCTTTCCTTGCTGATAAGCAGCTGCCTTCCACTGCTCCCGTCCAGCTCCCTGCTGCCTCTCGCCCCCAACCGGGCAGGGTGTAGCTTGGCTCTACCAGTGTTCAGCCACACGGTGGAGGCTGGGGACACCCCCATCCTGCCTCGCCTTCCTCAAGGCAGTGATGAAATGTCCTGGGGATGCTTTTCTGGGCCCTGCGTTTGTTGTACATTCTTTTACCATCCTCCCATAGGGAGGAAAACACTGAAAGCAACACTGAAAAGTTTCCAAGAAGGTGGCACCTTCGTTGCACCCAGTTAAAATGTTGTGTCTTCTCCTCCCTCACAAGTTCAGAATGACCGAAGAAGCATGCCGAACACGGAGTCAGAAACGAGCGCTTGAACGGGACCCAACAGAGGACGATGTGGAGAGCAAGAAAATAAAAATGGAGAGAGGATTGTTGGCTTCAGATTTAAACACTGACGGAGACATGAGGGTGACACCTGAGCCGGGAGCGGGTCCAGCCCAAGGATTGCTGAGGGCAACAGAGGTCACGGCTGTGGCAATGGGCAGAGGCGAAGGGCTGGTGGGTGATGGACCCGTGGACATGCGCACCTCACACAGGTGAGTGGGAGGAGCCAGCGGGAGGGGCTGGAACCTGGAGACAGGCCCAGTGTGCCCAGATTGGGGCAGCCACACTCCAGGCCTCTTGGTAATAGCTTGGCGGGGTTGTGGAGATGGCTGTAGGCTCAGCTCGGGCATCACCCCCCCGGCAGCTGTGCTGTTGTGGCCATTCCAGGGCCCCAGGTCCCAGCTGCAAGTAACACAGGGTGTGGGTCTCACAGGAGGAGGAGTGGCACATTCCATCAGCTCCCCTGCCATCAGTAGGCCTTTGCCACCCATGCGCCTGCTGTCTGTCTAACTCGGTGCTTTTGATTTGTAGGGACACTTGAGGTTTTCATTTGGTTATGCTTCCCTGCTTTTCAGATCTGGGGATCAGAGGGCCAGGGATACTACACCTACCTTGGTCACTTGGCTAGGGATAGAGTCGGGAGCCCAGCCCAGGGCACCCTCCTCAGAGCGGGTACGGGGTGCTCATTTGACTCCACATTCACTTGCTTCTGGTCTTCAGCTTGCTCTGTTGGTTTGTCCTTAGTCAACACTGATTACTTCTAGAGTGACTTTCCTCATATTCATCTTTTGTGAGTCTCTTAAGGTAAAAACTTGAAATAAAAATAAGACCCAATCTACCACCCATTTCTTGACTTCAAAACCTTCCTTTCTCTCTGTAAAGAGAAATTCAGACCCAGCACCTGCTCTTGCATCACCCTCCTTGGAGCTCTGCAGAATGTTCACGCCCAGACACCCGCTGAGGGCTGTGGTGTGGCCACAGCTCCCCGGCTGGCCCTGTGACAGACTCCTCTGTGGCCCATTGCTCTCTCTCTCTCACCACCCACTAGAGTCTTCTCCCTGTGGAGGGTCTGTCTCTCCATGCCTATTCGTAAGGGACAGCTGGTGGCTCCTCACCTTTCCGTGTCAACCAACTCCACAGGGAGACCCCAGCCTCCAGTCTTATGTCAGATTCGTTTTTGGAACCCAAACTGTTGGGATCCTGAGGACTTCAGAGATCATCCGGTGTTCACAGCGTTTAAAATGGGAAGATAAATGGGAAAACCCAAGCCCGGTCCTGTTGACAAAGGCTCCTAGTGTGAGGAAACACACTTTGTGGTCCTGCTGTCCAAAGAGGGCTTTTCTGTCTGACTCTGCTGTCTACAGTCCCCATTCTAAAACCAAGGTCCTCTTCTAAAGTTCCAGAAATAAAACTATAGGTCCAAGTCTCCTTTCCCTTTCTCTGACTATGTTTTCAGCCGGAGACCAGTCCATGACAGCTCAGCAGGGGTGAGCAGTGAGGGGCTGGTGTGGAGTCAGGGCAGGAAGAGGAGGAGTCCATGTTCATGGGAATCTGCAGTCCATGTGCATGGGGTTCCTCATGCATTCCTGGGCTCCTGGCATGCATTTTCTCCTGTAATCACCATGTTCCCCTGCAGGGTAGGCCAGTGGATTGTGAGGGAGAGGTTAAGTGTTAAAGAAACTCAGAGTTGGCTGGGCACGGTGGCTTACGCCTGTAATTCCAGCACTTTGGGAGGCTCAGGCGGGTGGATCACGAGGTCAGGAGGTTGAGACCATCCTGGCTAACATGGTGAAACCTTGTCTGTACTAAAAATACAAAAAATTAGCCGGGCGTGGTGGTGGCGGGCGCCTGTAGTCCCAGCTACTCGAGAGACTGAGGCAGAATGGCGTGAACCTGGGAGGCGGAGCTTGCAGTGAGCCCAGATCGCGCCACTGCACTCCAGCCTGGGCCACAGAGCAAGAGTCTGTCTCAAAAAAAAAAAAAGAAAAGAAAGAAACTCAGAGTTGGCCAGGTGCGGTGGCTCACACCTGTAATCCCAGCACTTTGTGGGGCCAAGGCAGGTGGATCACAAGGTCAGAAGATAGAGACAATCCTGACTAACATGATGAAACCCCGTCTCTACTAAACAAAATACAAGAAATCAGCTGGGCATGGTGGCAGGCACTTGTACACTTGTAGTCCCAGCTACTCAGGAGGCTGAGGCAAGAGAATGGCGTGAACCCAGGAGGCAGAGCTTGCAGTGAGCTGAGATCACGCCACTGCACTCCAGCCTGGGCGACGCAGCGAGACTCCATCTCAAAAAAAAGAAACTCAGAGTTCAGGCCCAAACCCAGATATTTTCTGTTGTCAAAGCCGGGGGCTACCCTGGGCCTCTTGGTGTCTTTCCTCACTGGGTCATTGCCTTCCAAACTGAGAAGATGCAGCATTGTTTCCTGCAGTTGATTGTGTTGCTTTCCTTATGACAGTAAAGGAAGGGAGCAGGGGACAGAGATGAACGCAGGTGCTGGTGGTGCTGGTGTCAGGGCCGTCCTGGAGCACTGAGACACCCAGGGCATTTGTGAAGCAGTGTGGGAATGAGCAAAGAACCCAGCTCACAGGCCAGCAGGCAGAGTTGGGGTCATATCACTCACACTGCCTGATCCTGAGCAGAGATCTTAGCCTGTGTTTCTTCATTTGTAAGATGAGCAATCATCTCTGCCTTGCAGGTTGATTGTATGCCAGGTAACGTGTACCAAGAATCAGCCTCCTTGTTTGGTGTCTAGTGAGGAAGGCGACTGACTCTGTTGGTGACAGCTTCCCTTCAGTCTTTAGCTTTACTCAAAAAGAGATGTCACGTGTATGCCTAGTGTCTCCCCAAGTTCTCACACTGTTTTGTGTCGTTCTTTGGAAAAGTACAGATGGGAGTTTTGACATAATCACAGCATCATGTCCAGCCCAGAGCCATTCTAAAACTAATCCATTCTGGAGCACATGGCTCTGATTTCTTCTAATACCTTCAAATGAAGGTATTAAAGAAGTCTTTGGATTCTTCTTGGGAGTGTCCAGCTTGGAGCACCCCTTGGGAGCCTCCCTTTAGTGCACAGTGTGGTGGTTTTCTCAATTCCCAGGTTGGTTTTCAGTCCTTCATAGGGCACAGCTGTATCAATCCACAGTTTAAGTCAGCTGAAGCTCTTTGGCTTCAGATTCAGTGTCTTATAAGACTGACATGCCAATTTTAAACTGTTATGCCAATAGAATTTAATTTTCGTTGTTTAACTTCTCAATTGAAGTATAGCATATGTAATGAAAAGTGCACATGTGAGCCACTAGATACACTTTGACAAACTGAACGCAACCTCATAACCCTAATCAAGGAACAAAATGTTATAGGCCGGGCACAGTGGCTCATGCCTATAATCTCAGCACTTTGGGAGGCTGAAGTAGGCAGATTGCTTGAGGACAGGAGTTCAAGACCAGCCTGGCCAACATAGCAAAATGCCTTCTGTACTAAAAATACAAAAATTAGCTAGGCATAGGGGACTGCCCTTGTAATTCCAGCTACTCGGGAAGCTGAGGCATGAGAATCGCTTGAACCCGGGAGACAGAGGTTGCAGTGAGCCAAGATTGTACCACTGCACTCCAGCCTGGGCGACAGAGTGAGACTCCCTCTCACTTAAAAAAAGAAAGAAAGAAAGAAAGAAACGAGGCTGGGTGCAGTGGCCCATGCCTGTAATCCCAGCGCTTTGAAAGGCCGAGGCAGGTAGATCACGAGGTCAGGAGATCGAGACCATCCTGGCTAACTTGGTGAAACCCTGTCTCTACTAAAAATACAAAAAAATTAGCCGAGCCTGGTGGCAGGTACCTGTAGTCCCAGTTACTTGGGAGGCTGAGGCAGGAGAATGGTGTGAACCTGGGAGGCGGAGCTTGCAGTGAGCTGAGATCACGCCACTGCACTCCAGCCTGGGGACAGAGTGAGACTCCATCTCAAAAAAAAAAAAAAAAAAAAAAAATGTTATTAGCACTTCTGAAGCCCCCTCATGCTCGCTTGCTGTCACTGTCCTCCAAGGGTAATCACGTTCTTGACAATGCCAGTTAGATTTTCTTGTTTGGTACTTTAAATAAGTGGGATTATATATTGTGTACCTTTTATCTTCCTGCTTTCACTCAACATTGTGAGATTTACCCATATTGTTGAGCATACCAGTAGTTAATCCATTTTCACTGCTGTATAGTATTCTGTTTATAGGGTTTCTATTTGGGTGTTTTTCAAAACTACCGTTTTTTTCTTTCATGCTATCTTATTACCGTCTTATGACCCAATTTGGGCATATTGGAAGCTACAGGCAGTTTCTAATGGCTTATAGGAGAGAGAATTTCCTTTTTCTTTAGTGGCTGGTGAATTGGAGTCATCAAAAAATATATATGTGTGCATGTGTGTGTGTAGTATACATATTACTATGGTGGGATGATTTGGAGCATGCAGAGGCAGATACAGTGGTAGAATCAGCTTTCTCTCTCCCTCTTTTTATCCCCTCCCTGTCTCTCTTTAACTCAGCAGTTTTTCTATCTTAGTTTCCCAACTTGTGTGGGTATTTTATATTCCACATAAATTGAGGGTGGAGGGCAGCTTCTGGTTGTGTTGAGAGATTGGCAGAATTGACAAAAGCAAAATGAAACAATCTCAGCATTCTGGAAAAATTGAGCAGGAGCATACAACAATCTGAGAAGTATTTATGCCTATAACTGCTGAACTTCAGGTGAGAACAGTGAGACTCTATGGCATTTGTCCTGGAGCTATTCCCATGCCCTCTCCCATCTGTTTGGTAAAGAGGTTCTGTCCAGTCACTGTCAGCTGTGAGGACCAACAGCTTCTCTGTATGGGCGAAAAGGGGGAAGACTGTTCATTTTAGAGTGGTAACAACCCTGCCTGTGGTCTTGCGGAGAGGCAGGTGAAGATGGACAGCGGCTCTGTTTTAGCCCAAGATTGGGGTAAGATAGAAAAACTATTTGAAGAAATAATGGACAAAAACATACTTGAGGATAACCTCATCCAGGAAGCCCAACAAACCCTAAATAGCGTAAGTACAAGGAGATCTTGACCTAGATACATCATAGTCAAAGTGTAGAAAGCCAAAGAAAAAAAAGAAAATCTTGAAAGTAATGAGAAAAACAGCTCAGCACGTCTGGGAAGCATTAATAAGATGAACAGCTGACTTCTGACTTGAGACAGTGG